CCCCTCTTTTGAGTCCACTGCTGCGTCTGCGCTTGTTGCTGAGCTCGTCGACTTTGCTGCTCGCTGTCGTCTAGACTACGCTGCCGGTCTTGTTGCTGAGTCTGCGTCTGTCTGTCCTCCGTCCGTCGGGGGTGAGTGTGCTCTTGGCACGGACGTCCTTGAGGACAGGCAGGAGGAGTTCAGGTGTCTGGCTGCTGCTTCACCTCATCTCGCGTCCGTACTACTTGCCCCTGAGGGAGACCCGGATGCACTAGACATCCCGACTCCGCGCTCTTACGCGGAGGCCGTAGAGGGTCCCTACTCCTCTCAGTGGCAGGCAGCTATGGATGCAGAGATGGCGTCCTGGAAGTCCACAGGCACCTACGTTGACGCGGTTCCCCCTCCTGGGGCGAACATCGTCAGTGGCATGTGGATCTTCAGGGTGAAGCGGCCGCCGGGCTCTCCACCTGTCTTCAAGGCGCGGTACGTCGCTCGTGGCTTCAGTCAGCGGCAGGGAGTTGACTACTTTCAGACCTTCTCTCCCACCCCGAAGATGACCACTCTTCGGGTGCTGCTGCACATAGCCGCTCAGCGCGACTACGAGCTCCACTCTCTTGACTTCAGTACTGCTTTCTTGCAGGGTAGCCTGCACGAGGAGATCTGGCTGCGCCGTCCACCTGGCTTCACTGGGACTTTTCCTCCTGGCACCCAGTGGAGCCTCCGACGGCCAGTCTACGGTCTCCGCCAGGCACCGCGTGAGTGGCACGACACACTGAGGACTACGCTTGCGGCTCTTGGGTTTGCTCCCTCTACTGCTGACCCGTCGTTGTTTCTGCGCACCGACACTTCTTTGCCGCCGTTCTACGTCCTCGTGTACGTCGACGACTTGGTCTTTGCCACAGCTGACACTGCTGGACTAGCCTACGTGAAGTCCGAGCTGCAGAAGAGACACACGTGCACAGACCTCGGTGAACTGCGCAGCTACCTTGGCTTGCAGATCACTCGGGACAGAGCACGCCGCACCATTACCTTGACTCAGTCACACATGGTGCAGCAGGTCCTTCAACGCTTCGGCTTCACGTACTCCTCGCCTCAGGCCACTCCTCTGTCTACTCGCCACTCGCTCTCAGCTCTGCCTTCGGATGAGTCCGTAGAGTCGAGTGGCCCGTACCCAGAGCTTGTTGGCTGCCTCATGTACCTGATGACCTGCACACGACCTGACCTTGCATACCCTCTTAGCATTCTTTCACGCTATGTTGCTCCTGGGAGACACCGACCAGAGCACATGGCTGCAGCGAAGAGGGTGTTGCGCTACTTGTGCAGTACGTCGGGCATGGGGCTAGTGCTTGGAGGGCGGAGTCCAGTGGTCCTCACTGGGCACGCGGACGCTTCTTGGGCAGACGACCAGGCTACACAGCGGTCGTCGCAGGGTTACACCTTCAGTCTTGGTTCCGGCTCTGTCTCGTGGCGGGCTACTCGCTCGTCCTCTGTTCTCAGCTCCAGTTGTGAGGCTGAGATCTACGCCGGGGCCATGGCTGCACAGGAGCTTCGTTGGCTCACCTACCTGCTGACTGACCTTGGAGAGCCGCCTCGTTCTCCTCCAGTGTTGTACGTAGACAACAAGGCCATGCTGGCCTTGTGTCGAGAGCAGCGCTTGGAGCACAGAACGAAGCACATTGCTCTCCGTTACTTTCTTGCTCGTGAGCTGCAGCAGCGTGGTCAGTTGCGACTTGCGTACGTGGCCTCTGAGGCCAACACTGCTGATGTGTTCACCAAGGCACTTGCGCCTTGTGACCATCAGCGCTTCTGCACCCAGCTGGGTCTTGTACCTGTCTTGCCTCACTTGCTCTCTTCTTGACCTTGCTTGTACTGTCACATCTACATTCCTGCTCTTGCTTGTCTAGCTCTATATATATATGTGTACTCCTGCATGTGAACTGGCCCTGTTGCCCTGTCGTTGTGCTCGGACTGTGTGGTGACTTTGTGATCCACCCTGAGCTTGCTCTGCTTTGCTTGACTGGTCTTGTGACCCCTTGTTCTCCCCCACTTTGCCTATGGGGGTGTGTCAGAACATATATATAGCTTATGCTGTTGTGTAGGCTATAGTGGGGTATCCCATAGGGGGTACAACACAATTAGGGTTTCCCATATGTACTCACTTCATTCATAGTTCATTCATCCTCGTTCTACTATTCTCAGTACTCCCGCTCGGGCCAAGTCGAGGAGCTGGGCCCTAGACGTCCAAGTGGAGGGTATGGAAGGGAGCTGTGGCCGGACGAAGGGAGGAGGAGTGAGGAGTGGCGCGCAGCTGACCCTCGACGCAAGGAGTGCACGACTGCGTAGGCGAGGGAGGGAGCGACGCAAAGACGCGCGGGAGACGCGAAACAAGACGCTGACTAGCCATGCTGCGGAGGCGAGGGAGGGACGGGTGGCGGAGATGGTGGTGCCACAAGACTGTCGGGTGGGTGAGGGACCAGCAGGAGCAAGACGCAGCAACCTGACCAGACACAGCAACCTGACCGGACACATCAACCTGACCGGACACAGCAACCTGACCGGACACAGCAACTTGAGGGGACGCACCTACCTGGGAGCGCTCAGTGGGCAGAACGTATATACCAGAGCGGGGCTCCCTGGTGAACGTGGCAAGAAGTGCACTGGTGGAAGCGTCCGTATAGATCGCAGTCCTCCCGTGGCCAAGAAAGGTGACTGTGATCCCTCGATCCTGAAGGTATCCAACACCCACCAAGTTCCGAGTGAACGAGGGGATGTGGAGACCAGTAAGGACACCAGAGGGGACCACAGGGTACATGAGGGTGGTAGAGCTGCGTGCAACTGCTGGTCCAGAAGTAGGATCAGCTAGGGCTACTGGAACAGGAGCAAGGAGTGGTGTGAGAGTCATGTGGTCGCGGAAGAAGCTCTGTGACGCGCCATAGTCCAGTGTGAAGGACAGCGACGCGTTAGCCATAGGTGCACCTGGGCTGGTAGCTACACAAGCACCTAGTGCAACAACCCAAGCACCTAGACTAGAAAGACGAAAGTCTACACTAGCAACATGCAAGGATCCTAGTCTAGGAACAAGCGAGAAAACAGATCCATCAGCACTATAGTCAACTTCAGCATACATGGCATACTGACGAGCCTCATCCATAGACAGGTCAAATACAGGAATCTTACGGGCTATCAGCTATGCCCAGCACGGGGTGCATCCCGCGTAACCATGACGCTGACGGTAGAGGTCGTCGAGGCAGCGGAAGCAACGCGCTACTGAGTTGTCACCGCGCCCGCAGACACCAGGACTAACCGGTCCCGTGAGGTTCCAGTAATCGCAGGGGCCAAGGTTGCGCCCAGGGGGCCGGGGGCCCCAGCTCGCAGTGCTGCCACTATGGCCAGTGCTCCCCGGTCCTCCAGGTCTCCACTGCTGTGGGGAGGCCCCGTGCTGCTGCGGACCCCACTGCTGTGGGGGTCCCCACTTCGGAGCCTGCTGCGGCATCTGCCGCTGCTGCTGTCCCTGCTGTGGCTGCTGCTGTTGTGACTGCTGCTGCTGCCCTCCCTCACCACCACTAGGGGCAACACCACCAGCTAGTGGGCCCGACGGTCCAGTACCTCCTCCAGGGCCTCCTCCTCCTGGCGCACTAGTACCGCCACTGCCGCAACTACTGCCACTCCCAGCTCCACCTCCGCCACCTCCACCGCTGCCACCACCCTTCCTCCCTTTCTTGCCTCCCTTGCCTCGTTTCTGCCCACCAGCGGCAGAAACATTTGTAGCCTCCTCAGAGACAGACACCGCAGCAGTGGCACGAGTAGAAGTGAAGGTGGGAAGCTGAGGTACAGCACACCCCTCAAAGAGACGGGGAGCTACTACGTCAGTGGCAGAGGCAACAGAGAGGAGGTTACTTTCGATCTAAGAGAGAGTGCTCTCAAGAAGCTCGATCGTAAGCTCACTGGGGTGCTTTTGAAGAAGCGCGTCACGGGCAGAGGAGAGGCGGTCAGGGAGGCACCTGACTAACCAGTGAATGGTGAGCCACATAGGAGGGGGGGCAAGCTCAAGCTGGGCGTTCGTACAGGCTGTACGGTAGCTAGTGTCGAGGGAACGCAGGTGGGTGGCAAGGTCGGAGATAGTCGCAAACGACCCAAGGTCAGGGACCACGAACGACATGAGGAGGCGGCTGAGGGAGGCAGAGGAAGGGGTGGAATAACGAGCAACGATAGCATCATAACACCCCTTCACTGTCTCGACCTGGGAGAAGTGAGCAGCCTCACTCAGTGGGAGAAGATCAATGAGCGCCAGTGCAGCCGCAGTGTCCCGAGAGTCCTAGACGTCACGTGCCAAGAACAGTCGGTCGTAGTCTGCCTGTTTCACCGCAGCGAGAGCAGACTCAGTAGGTAGGGGGTCGGGGCTTGGAGAGGCCCGTAGTGCGCCAGACGCGTGGGCGTACAAGGTGGCACCGTCCTGGTGGAGCCACGTACTAAAATCGATAGGACGGCCCTCCGCATCGAAACGTAGGCGGCTGAAGGACTCCATAGTAACAGCTAGAAGCGGATGGAGCTAGGAGCGGCTGGAGCAAGGAGTCGCCAGGCTAGGAGCGACAAGAGCTAGGAGCGACTAGGCTACGAGCGGCTGGAGCTAGGAGTGGCCAGGCTAGGAGCGGCCGGAGCTAGGAGTGGCCAGGCTAGGAGCGGTCAAAGCTAGGAGTGGCCAAAGCTAGGAGCGGCCGGAGCTAGGAGCGCCGAGCTATAGACGAGCGGAGCTGGGAGTGAGTGGAGCAGGAGCGCCAGGGTAAATAACCGTCGGTCGAAGCTAGGAGGAGACCAAAAACCTGATTCGAGCAAACGGAGGGAAGAGCGGCTGCCAGCCGCCGTGGAAGATGCCTATAGCAGTAGGCTCGAGGTAGAGCGCGAGCACAGCAGCGGTGGAGGGGGAAAGAGCTCGCTGCTGAGTGGGGTGCGCGCGTGGTGGCAGGGCTTAGCGCGAGCTGCAAGGGCTAGGACGCGTGCCGCTGCGGGTGCGTGCGGTGCAGCTAAGGGGTAGAGCGGGGGGGAGGGGCGTGAGTTGCTCTGCTGATGGCGCACGCTGCTAGGCTAGGTGGAGCGCGCTGTTCTGCTGGGGCGCGCGCTGCTCTGCTAGGTGGCGCGCACTGCTCTGCTGGGGCGCGCGCTGCTCTGCTGGGTGGAGCGCGCGGTGGGTGGCGCGCGCTGCTCTGCTGAGTAGCGCGCGCTGCTCTGCTCGGGCGCGCGCTGCTTTGCAGAGTGGCGCACGCTGCTCTGCCGGGCCGCGCTCTGCTCTGCTGGGTGGCGCGCGCTGCTCTGCTGGGGCTCGCGCTGCTCTTCTGGGTGGCGCGCTGCTCTTCTAGGTGGCGCGCTGCTCTGCAGGGTGGCACGCGCTGCTCTGCTGGGTGGTGCGCGCTGCTCTCCTGAGGCGCGCGCTGTTCTGCTGGGGCGCGCGCTGCTCTGGCAGGGGCGCGCGATACTTTGGCAGGGGTGCGCGCGGGTCAGCACACGGGGGGGAGGGCGCGCTGCTTAGGGAGGGGTACGACTACGGAGTGACGGAGCGGTGCGGGCCCCTCAACGCACGGGCGGGCAACGGAGCACGGGCGGGCTAGGCTAAGCTAGGAGCGTACCTACCCATGATACCATCTCAAAGATTGAATAGCGGAATGTGGTCACTAGAAAGAGAAGCACGACAAAATACCAACCCTAAATTGGGTTGTACTCCCTACAATGCTACTCACTGTAGCCTAAGAAGATATTATAACATTTGACAACAATCCGACTTGTTTGTGATCTGTTGGGAAAGGAAATTTGACTTATGCTAGTTCGATAGTATAAACGCTACAGTATTATAGTAGTATCATTGTATGTGCATGTTATTGTAGCGGGTGTCCCTTCGTGTGAGTTGCAGGTAGTAGTGCGAACAGTCTCGCGGCTGTTCGCATGATACAGGATTATACGGCTTCATAGAGTCGACTCGATACTTAGCCCGCTTCATGAACGGGTACATCTCTGAATAGGTACTTTCCTAGACTATCAATCTCTTGTACTTTTTCTTCATTATCAATTCTTGGTCTCACATTTGACTAGCACACGAATTCCAGTCTTCGGCTGCATAATATTACAAGGACTATACTCTAAAAGATCCTAAGGCGTTTTCTCAGCCCAGCATGGCATGAGAGCTGGAGAGTTTACGATCTCCTAGTTTTCCACAATTCTCAGTTACTGAAGTCTTCATTATTAGGGCTATTTTACGATCATGACTGACAGCAACAACGGTAAACCCCACTTGCAAAGTGGAGGTGGTAGTTTGCAGCAGCCCACTACACCACCACTACCTGGCTCTGGTTCCTCATGTATGGCCTTTGCCAGCCCTGCTCCAACAGCTGCATGTGCAACTGGACTAGGAGGCGTTTGAGGATAGTCCTAGTCGTTCACGTTTAACGCTGCAACAGGAGATGGCGCTGCTGCAGGCGATGGCGTAGCAGGCCTCGATCCTGTGATACAACAGCAAGTTTTTCAAGCCATGTCAGCGTTCATGGCATCAGCACCACAAGTACAGCAAGCACCACAAGCATCGTCGTCTGTGAACATGGGAACGGCCCCACTGAGTGTCAACGGAACATCATACGTACGTCAACAACCACTTTCTTACCGTCCTCTGCCTCGACAACAGTAGCGGGCCTCCTACGCGTTTGTACCTTGAAGTGCACCTGCGCAACAGCAACAACAGCAACAACAGCCACAGCAGCAACAGGATGGGGATGGGTTCGGAGTGAGAGACTATCAAGAGCATATGTAAAACATCATGAAGTTTCAGACTTCAAGACCCTTCGACGGAAAGGACTTCTTCGCCTGGAGTTTTGAGTTTGAACTGATGATGGAAGCAACACAGATTTGGGAATACTTCACCGGGGAGATACAATTCCCAGTCAACGGCACACCAGATGAAGAGCGCGGTTTCGCCTTTCAGTCGATGATGGCGTTTACGATTCTTCTACGTAACATGTCACCCACTGAACAGCAAGGCATCGAATCATACAGGGAATTTGCAAACTCAGAGGAGTTCGCATGGCAAGATTTTAAGCGGCTTTATCAATCAAAAGACTGTGTAACACAGAGTAGACTCATGTCGCAGTTGAACAACGTGCAGGAGAAGGCAGGAGAGCATGCGGTGTAGTACATCAACAGATGCAGAGAGCTACGTGACCAGTTTAATCGAAGCGGTGGGAACTTTTCTGAGACCATGTTCGTGACATTTATCATTGCCATACTTGGACCTCAGTGGCGTCAGACGCGCTCTCTTCTTCGTACTCAAGGAAATGTTTTGGAGATGCACCTCTGCGCAACACTTCTTGCCGAACAGCAAAATATGGATCTGTACGACAGCAAGCGGAAGGCAACAAAAAGGTAAATCAGTTCGCCTTTATAACACACAGTCAAGTGGAGCCGCCGAAGCAGCAACGACAGAAGCATGTTCAACAACAGCAGAAGCAGCGACAACAGCAACCGCTACGGCAGCAGCAGCAGCAGCAGTACTACGTACCTCCTTTTTGTCATAACTGTAAAACTTCTGGGCACTCTCGTGATCATTGTCCTCAGCGTCAGAAATCAACACCTCAACATCCTGCCACTGCTCCTCCACAGGTTGTAGACGCTACTGCATCAGCTGCACAGAGTAAACCACAGACTACGTCAGCACCAGCAAAAGGGCGGAACGTGCAAGCCTGGATGACTCGTACAGACTCATGCATCACAGGCTCACCTCCAACCTTTGCTCCAGATGAAGTTCCGGAAGAAGTTCCAACAAATCTTCTCGTCAACCCACAGTACGCCAGCGATGCAGCTACCGCCCAATAAGGTCCGGGTGTTTGGTTTCTTGACAGTTGCTGCGCACAACACATGTGCATGACCAGGGTTAACAATGGGTTCTACGTGAAACATGAAACACGACTACATCAGGAACTTACAGTACCTTTTCTAACCAGCTAATAGACCCGGGGGTCTAATCCTATACCGGGAATAAAAGGGGGGGGGGTCTATTAACCGGGGGGAATTTTAATAGACCTGGGGTATAATCCTGACAAAGTTTATTTTTACGTTCACACACTTTACACATGTTACAAAGCGACTCAACACATCAGGGAAGCCAAATTGCACACGTTTAGGTCACGCGAAACGACTTGCGCAACGAGCCAGCACGAAACTGCCACTTGGCAGAAAACACCACCACCAGCCCAACCCACGTCCAGTGACGCTCCTCACTAGCTACAGCGGTGAACGGCACGGTGGGCCGCTTGTGCTGTCAGCACATGGCGGGATGTTTCAGCAGCTTCCCGTTCCTGCACATCGCGCTTCGTAATTCACATAAACGCATCCAACGCCTAGCTGCAGAGCAACACATTCTTGGCACAGCTCTCAATTCGTTTCCTGTAGGCATTCAGCAGTGTTAGAACCGTATAAGGCATAGGTTACTCTAATCTGACTAGGTAGTCGAATAGTGCAATGGCCACTCCTACTGGCATAGGCATTCTGTTTGGTCGCGGTGCATCCGTTCACGAAGTAACTGTCAACATTCACAATGCTCCACCCCAGCCTACGTCCCGGACTACACCTGCAGTACCTAGCACAACTGCATCTCATCCAGAGCATGTGGTTGCAGCAGGCAGTAGTGGCCCCACCGTGGAGGTCGAAGACCTGCCCGAAGTCTCTGTCCCAGAGTTTCCTACGCCATCAAACACTAGGCAGCCCGTTGTCGACCGTGACGCTTCTCCTCCAGAAGGTTGCGGGCATCAAACAAAGCTGCCCGACGTGATCGCACCGTCACCAATAAGCTAGGATGGTTGGAAACGATGCGGACAGAGCTGCTGACGATTCGTGAGACTGCACGCCGTGCTGAAGTGCAACCGTCGGCGACAAGGCGCTGGAAGAAGGAACAAGCTCGTATGGAGGAAGCCTTCGGATGTCGTAAGCGCTTGCACGGAGCAGGTAGGAGATCCATGCATCCGGACATGGAGCTCTCTGTCTACCGTTCGTTCCTCAGTCGACGTGCTCGTGGGCTGCCCGTAACCATTGCCATGCTACGTGCATGGAGTGCCAGTTTCATGAAGCGGCACCACCCGCTTTGTGATTAGCGCGCTTCGTTCCACTGGGCCTCCAGATTCCGTACCCGCTGGGGTCTCGCGCTTCGGGTGAAGACTAAAGTTGGGCAGCGCCTGGCAAGTGGTAAGTTTGTAGATGCATGTGTACCGCTCCTGTGTAAACAATGTCGCCACTGATCTAATGAACCTCACCCTCCTCCCGTCCTTGAGCAGATTGCAAGCACAAGGTTGAGGCATTATGGCATTTCGTGAAACAAATGCGGATCAAGCACAATATCAAAGACGAGCACATCCTGAACGCCGATCAAACGCCATTATTTCTGGAGATGCCCGCTGAGAAGACCCTTGAGCATTCTGGAGCGCGAACCGTCCATGTTCGCACTGCTGGTTATGAAAAAGAACGCGTGACCGTCATGCTCACCTGCACTGCCGCGGGTGTGAAGCTGCCGCCGTTCATCGTCTTCAAGAGAGCAACCATCCCGGAGATCAAGATCCCGCCCGGTATGAACGCCCACTCCCTTCGTTCAGATTTTTGCCACATCCTGCCTTCCTGACATTGTTGTGTGAATGTGTGTTCAGGAATGATCGTCCGCGCCCAACGCAAAGGCTGGATGGATGAAACTTTGGTGAAAGACTGGACCACCAAAGTCGTCGCCCCATTCATGATGGGGGCCTTCGGACGTCCGCGTGAGCCGTGCCTACTGGTCTTGGATTCTTACAAGGGACACTTGGCCACAAGTGTCAAAGAAACATTCTCCCTTTTCAAGCTCATCCCTGCAGTTATCCCTGGCGGCTGCACATCATTAATGCAGCCGTTAGATGTCTGCATCAACAAAGCGTTCAAATGCGCTGTTCGCAAGCGCTACCAAGAATGGTTCGCATCCGAGGGCATCAACACCTTGACGAAAGCCGGTAAGCTTTACGTGTGACTCGTGTACGCTTCATGTGCCCCACAAATCTCTCAATGAATCTCTTGGTGCGTGGCAGGAAACCTCAAGAAACCGCCGGCTGAAGAGGTCCTTAGGTGGGTGGCAGAGGCGTGGGAGTCTATTCCTACTGCTCTCGTCGCAAATTCATTCAAAACATGTGGCCTGTCGAATGCAATCGACGGCTCAGAAGACCATCTCACTCTCCGACACCTCAAGTCGGGCAGTAAGGTGGATGTGTCGGACAATGCGGACCCTACGGGGTGGGCTGGGGACAACAGCACCATGTCTCGTCTCCCAGCACACGGTGAGGAGACAGAGGGTGCCGAGGAGACAGAGGCTGACGTGGAGGAGCTGGAGGGTGCGGCAGAAGAGGAGGAGGGAGTTGATGAGTTTGAAGAAGAGTGCTGGTGGCGGGAGGACGAAGATGACCCCACCGCATACGCCCCTTTCACCGAGGGCGGGTAGAACAAGCCATCATGGGGGCAGTCCATTAACTTGAGTAGGTAGCAGTCCCTTATCTTGAGTAGGAAGCAGTGCAGTATCCTGAGTACCGTATCCCCCTAAAACCCTCTTTATAACTGAGGAGATGAGAGCTGGGGAAAGTGTTTGCTAGGTATTATTGTATGGTAATTTGCAACTAACAAGAAGTTCCCCAAACCAAACCACAAATGGGGGGAGAGGTTGGGGGGGGGGGGGGGGGGGGGGGTCTAATCCTGAATGCAATCCAAAAAGGGGGGTCTAATACGAAAGTGGAGATAGCATTAGACCCCCCCCCATTTAACGACCCGGGGGTCTATAATTTTGGGGGGTTTATTAGCCGGGTAAATACGGTAACAGTCGCCAACAATCAGACTTTACGTACCCGACACCAAGGCATAGTTCTTCTTCAATCGCTAGAGACAAACACAGTCATACAGCTCTCCAACGTCCTCATCGTGCCTAGCCTCGGCTACAACCTTCTTAGCGTCAGTCAACTAGTGGGCCGCGGAGTACACCTGGTATGCGACAGCGACAACAGAGAGATAAAGTTATATTCTACAAAGGGAGGCTTCAACGTTGCAAGAGCAATACAGCAAGATGGAGTGTTCGTACTTAACGTTGAGCGAGATGGGACTTCTGCCGATAGCGACCGCATACTCGCTTTTGGTTCTTGGACGGATTGCCATCCCAAGGAGCCCAATCCTCAACCAGATCAACTTGGATTTCATTGTGAAGATGTAACACCGATTTCTTCTAGAGTCGGCACACTTGAAACAACACAAGCGGCAGCAGAGACTATGAGTACCAGTGGAGAAACAGATACAGGATCTGTCATTACCGTCAACCTCATTACACTCAACTGGTCCTCTTGTCATCGACACTTCTGCTACTCGACGCGGTACGATCAACGATGAGTCACATCGGAGTCCAGCAAACTTCGCCGCCTTCTACGCCAACTCTGCCTTGTATCGTCGATCTGCGGGACATGCAGCTTCAGAGGAAATTTGGCACAAGAGGTTAGGACATCCGAGCGGATCTACAACTTTCGACACGATTCAAGCAGGGGCTCTTGACGAAGACGCTCTTCTTCTTCTCGATGGAAAGGAGCTGTGCCAACCTCGCCACAACTGCACGCTGTGACCTGAAGCTGATCTGCCCCGAAAACCGTTTCCGTCTCATCACAACCCGGGTGTTCCTGCCTACAAGCCACTGGAAAATGTTTACGGTGATATTCTGGTGATACCAAGGCAAGAAGGACGAGCAGATTTGAATTGCGTTATTACCTTCATCGACGCAGCTACACGTTACGTATGGCACGCGCTTATCCTTTCTTGCGATCTTGCTTACGAAGCATTCGTGGCGTGGCTACCTGCAGCTGAACAAGAAAGTGATCTGAAGCTGAAGAGTTTTCAGACTGATGATGCTCTCGAGTACCTCTCACAACGCTTCAGGAACTACCTTGCTGAAAGGGGAATCAAGAAGCTGTAGTCGCTGCCTTACCATCATCAACAGCAAGGCGTGGTAGAACGGATGAACAGGACTCCGCAGACCACCATGCGCAAGTTGCTCATTAAGTCACGCCTACCAGCAGGGCAGTGGCCGTTTGCAATGGACCACTCCGTGCTACTCCACAATCTTCTGTCTTCATCGTCCCTGCCAAACAACTCCTCACCGCACAAAGAGTGGACAGGGAAGCTGGGCAGTACAAAAATTTTACGTGTCTTTGGGTGTATGGTACAGTATCGTCCTTCGAATACACCTGCGGGACGGTTTTCACAAAGGGCACGATGGGGGATACACTTCGGCATCGAGAAACAGTTTGCAGCATGGAAATTTTGGGACGTCGAAACACGTGTCACTGTTCCAGCACGCGATGTACTCTTCTACGAGAGACTTACTTACAACACTGGGCAGAGGCAGCATGCCAACCGCGAAGATTTGACAGCTGGGTTTTCTTGTACACATACCTTCGCTACAGAAGCCGACGAAGCTGACTCGGTGGAGGAAGCTGTCTCGGGTGCGTTAGCAGCTGCCGGTGCCGCCCCAGACTGTTCTGTTCCGATCGAGAACGATGATGAAGATCCTCACAACGATATCAACGCCGAGGCTTATTACGAGTTCGCTGATAATGGAGCGACTACACCGCTTCCTGTTGCTTCTAACCAAAGCGAACGGTTGGGTCCTGGTTTTAACTTCGATCCTGAAACTGGTGACGAAGCTCCTACTAACGAGATTGAGGAGCGGACTCGTTATCAACAGACTGGGTTACAGATACTGGGGCTCGCTGCAGCAGTTCAACCACCTCTGCCTACCGAACCGAAAACCTTGAATTGGGCGCTGAAAGATCTTCATAGGGAAAAATGGTGCGAAGCCATGGATAAGGAGCTGAAGGCGCTACACGATAACAACACCTGGGATTTAATCCCCATTTCGACGGTTCCATGAAAGAACGTTCTCTATGGGAAGTGGGTCTTCCGTATTAAGACGAATGCTGACAGAACGATCGAGCGTTTCAAGGATCGCTGGGTCGTTCGCGGATTTGATCAAAAGCAGGGCGTGTACTGCGGCGCGACTTTTGCTCCTGTTGGTCGGCATTCTTTGCTTCGAATTCTACTCGCCTTCGCAGCAGCATTGGGTCTTAAGCTTCGCTAGATCGATGTTTCAACGGCGTTTCTTTACGCTCTCGCCGATGCACTCATCCTCGTCGAACAGCCTTACGGTTACGTTACCAATCCTTCCATGGTCTGCCGCCTCAATAAATCTCTCTCCGGGATTAAACAAGCGCCGCGTCTCTTGCAACAGCATCTCCATGAGCGTCTCATCCGCATCGGCTTTTGCCAACTACCCCATGACCACGGAATGTATCGACTGGACCGCGAAGCTGCATTCCTGCTTCTCGTCGTCTAATTCGATGATTTACTCTACATCGGCAGCACTCCCAACATCATTACTTACTTTGAAGGGGAGCTAAAAACTGATCTCACGATTACGATTTTATCCAACGTTACTTAGTATCTTGGCCTAAACATTACCGAGACATCAACCGCAATTAATCTCCCCGCCGACAAGTACGATGAGAAGCTGCTGAAGCGTTTTCCGCTACCGATCACTACCTCCGCCACTCCGTTCCGTTCTACTCAAGCAGCTGAATCCGAGCCTCTTTCATCTGCTAGTGTTGTCAAACATTATACTTGTGATATTTGTGTAGGCTATAGTGGGTTAGCCTATAGGGGGTTCACAACTCCAGGGTTTCATATTTGTACTCTCACTTCTTTCTAGTCAAGACACTTCTCTCATTCTAACATGGTATTACGAGCCTAGGTTAGGAACCTAGGACCGAACGTTCCTAAGGGCCCACCGTTCCGTTTTCTCCCTACCTACTAGCGCCCTCGTGCGCCCTACTGTCGGAGCGCCCTCGAGCGCCTCCCTCCAGCGCCCTCGTGCGCCCCTCTTTAACGGCCCCTTAAGGCCCCGCGACCCGCCCCTTAGCGACCCGCGCGCCGCCCCTTAGAGGCCCCGTCGACCCCGAGCGCCGCCCCTTAGAGGCCCCGTTGGCCCCGTCGACCCCGCGCGCGCCCCGCTTAGAGGCCCCGTCGGCCCGTCGACCCCGCTTAGAGGCCCCGTCGGCCCCACCTAGAGGCCCCGTCGGCATCGTCGACCCCGCGCGCACCCCGCCTAGAGGCCCCGCTGGCCCCGTCGACCCCACGTGCGCCCCGCCTAGAGGCCCCGCTGGCCCCGTCGACCCCACGTGCGCCCTGCCTAGAGGCCCCGCTGGCCCCGTCGACCCCGCGCGCCGTCCCTTAGCGGCCCCGTCGGCCCCGTAGACCCCGCGCGCACCCACCCCTTAGCGGCCCCGTCGACCCCACGCGCCGCCCCTTAGTGCCCCGCACGCGACAGCCACGGCCCCGCCAGAACCAGGCCGCCCGAACCGAGCCGCCCGAACCGAGCCGCCCAGTCCGAGCCGAGCCGCGCCGCCCGAACCGAGCCGCGCCGCCCTACCCGAGCCGCGCCGCCCTACCTGAACCGAGCCGCGCCGCCAGTACTGAGCAGCCTCTCTGGACCGAGCCGCCCTACCTGAGTCGCGCTGCGTACTGCTTTTAGGGTACACCTACTGCTACTATGGCTAGCCCTCCTGTGCTAGCTTTCGATGCTGAGGGCCGCCCAGTGAAGTTTGACACCTGGCTAGATGACCTGCACCTCTTCCTACAGCTCACTGCCAAGGAGGACATCTCACTGTACGATCACGCCCTAGGCCATGCCACTGCCCCTGCTGCTACTGCTGACAGCACTGCCCGCTCACAGTGGCAGACTCGTGACGCCCACGCTCGCTTTGCTATTCGCAACTCCCTGCCGATAGATGAGCGCGAGCACTTTGGCCAGCACAAGACTGCACAGGCACTGTACGCTGCTGTCGTTGCCCGCTACTCCTCACCTGCCTCTGCCGCGCTAGGCCGTCTCTCACTCCCCTACCTGTTCCCCGACCTGGCCTCTTTCCACACAGTCGCTGACCTCATCACGCACCTCCGTACTAGTGAGGCCCGCTTCCGTGCCGCCATGCCCGATGAGTTTCTTGCCAAGAACCCCCCCCCGCTCTGGCTCACTCTCTACCACCTAGTCACCCGCCTCCCTGACACTCTGCGTGCAGTCAGGGATCACTTCCTATCTCGCTGCCCCACTGAGCTCACCATTGCCCTCCTCGAGAAGGAACTACTTGCAGCTGAGGCTAGCATAGTCGCTGTAGGTGCCTCTCGTGGCGACCCCCGCACCCCTTTCTTTGAGGGGTGTTCCCCTTCCCCCCTTCTTCCCTCTGTAGCCTCTGCTTCTGCTGTCGACCTCCTTGGTGCTGAGAAGGTCGGGACTGCGTCCGCTTCGAGCTGGCGCCGCAGCGGCAAGGGCAAAGGGGGCAAGGGAGGCGGAGGTGACGGCGGGGGAGGCGGTGGTGGGGGCGGTGGCAGCGGTGGGGGTGGTGGTGGGGCTGGAGGGAC